CTCCGAGAGGGCATTCATTCCCGGGATGAGCCAATGGAAATCAGCCTCCACTCGCCACGTCACCAGTCTCCAGGCAGACCTGGCCTCCTGGGCTGATTTTCCCTCTCGCTACTGCCCATTCCTGCCATTCACAGGGAGGCAGAGGACGAAGCGGTCCCGAAGCTGCTTCGCCCGCCGCCTCCCCCCCTTCTCCACACCCCGCGGGCCGGATAAATGCCCTCGGGGGGCCGGATCCGGCCTGCAGGCCTTAGCCTTCTAGCCCTTCATCTATGTCATTAATAAAGATGTTGAACAGGACCGGGCCCAGGACGGAACCCTGCGACACTCCACTTGTCACTTCTTTCCAAGATGAAGAGGAAGCATTGGTGAGCACCCTCTGGGTTCGTCCATTTAACCAATTACAGATCCACCTCACCGTAGTTTTGCCTTGCCCACAAACACCTTGCAGTGTAAGAAATCGCACACAGAGAATCTTTGTGCCTGTCCCCTTTGTACCTGAGGAGGGAGGGATTCCTCGTTGTTGGGCAAGTGTCAAAGTATTTGTCACCAGGCAATGGGCACCTTCCCTCTTCCTCTTGGTTTGCTACAGCACTAGACTTCCTCTTCGTGTTCCATGAGATCTTTCTCTGTTCAACTCCTGAAGAGATTTCCTCTCATTTCTCTGGCAGGTAACTTCGGAACAAGTTCTGCGAAGAACACCTTGTGAGAGCTTTGCCTGAGGAGTGCTGTAAGTTCAAAGTGACTTCAAGATACACAGCAATGACAACAAGAAAAAATAAGTACCAGAAAAATATATTTTAAGCTACACTCCTGTGCAATTAAAGGGGCGATAAAATTGTGCTGTAAAAAGAGAGGCCTGGGAAAGCGAGCAGAAGGCTACAGCAATACAGAAACTGTGCTGAACAGGAGGTTGTATCTGTGAGCATCAGGCAAAATATTTGAAATATAAATCTAAAAGAATGGCAAGTCCCCTACCTCCCTATCCTAGATCAGACACAGGGGAGAAGTTACATCAGTGTATGGAATGTGGAAAACAATTTGATAGGAAAAGTTCTCTTACTGTACATGAACGGACCCACACAGGGGAGAAGCCATATCAATGCATGGAATGCGGAGAAAGCTTCAGTCAGAGTGGCAGTCTACATCAAAGGATCCACACAGGGGAGAAGCCACATAAATGTATGGAATGTGGAGAAAGCTTCAGTAAGAGTGGCACTCTACGTTCCCATCAAAGGATCCACACAGGGGAGAAGCCATATAAATGTATGGAATGTGAAGAAAGCTTCAGTCAGAGTGGCATCTACGTAGACATCTAAGGACGCACACAGGGGAGAAGCCATATAAATGCATGGAATGTGAAGAAAGCTTCAGTCGGAGTGGCAGTCTACGTACCCATCTAAGGACGCATACAGGGGAGAAGCCATATAAATGCATGGAATGTGAAGAAAGCTTCAGTCGGAGTGGCAGTCTACGTACCCATCTAAGGACGCATACAGGGGAGAAGCCATATAAATGCATGGAATGTGAAGAAAGCTTCAGTCGGAGTGGCAGTTTACGTACCCATCTAAGGACGCACACAGGGGAGAAGCCATATAAATGCATGGAATGTGAAGAAAGCTTCAGTCAGAGTGGCCATCTACGTAGACATCTAAGGACGCACACAGGGGAGAAGCCATATAAATGCATGGAATGTGAAGAAAGCTTCAGTCGGAGTGGCAGTTTACGTACCCATCTAAGGACGCACACAGGGGAGAAGCCATATAAATGTATTGAATGTGGAAAATGCTTCAGTCAGAGTGGGCATCTTCAGACCCATCAAAGGACCCACACAGGAGAGAGACCATATAAATGCATGGAATGTGGAAAATGCTTCAGTCGGAGTGGCAGTCTACGTTCCCATCTAAGGACACACACAGGGGAGAAGCCATATAAATGCATGGAATGCGGAGAAAGCTTCAGTCTGAGTGGCCATCTACGTAGACATCTATGGACACACACAGGGGAGAAGCCACATAAATGTATTGAATGTGGAGAAAGCTTCAGTCAGAGTGGCAGTCTACGTACCCATCTAAGGACACACACAGAGGAGAAGCCATATAAATGCATGGAATGTGAAGAAAGCTTCAGTCAGAGTGGCCATCTACGTAGACATCTATGGACACACACAGGGGAGAAGCCACATAAATGTATTGAATGCGGGGAAAGCTTCAGTCAGAGTGGCAGTCTACGTAGACATCAAAGGAGTCATACAGGGGAGAAGCCATATAAATGCATGGAATGTGAAGAAAGCTTCAGTCGGAGTGGCAGTCTACGTACCCATCTAAGGACGCACACAGGGGAGAAGCCACATAAATGTATTGAATGTGGAAAATGCTTCAGTCAGAGTGGGCATCTTCAGACCCATCAAAGGACCCACACAGGAGAGAGACCATATAAATGCATGGAATGTGGAAAATGCTTCAGTCGGAGTGGCAATCTACGTAGACATCAAAGGAGTCATACAGGGGAGAAGCCATATAAATGCATGGAATGCGGAGAAAGCTTCAGTCGGAGTGGCAGTCTACGTACCCATCTAAGGACGCATACAGGGGAGAAGCCATATAAATGCATGGAATGTGAAGAAAGCTTCAGTCGGAGTGGCAGTCTACGTACCCATCTAAGGACGCACACAGGGGAGAAGCCACATAAATGTATTGAATGTGGAAAATGCTTCAGTCAGAGTGGGCATCTTCAGACCCATCTAAGGACACACACAGGGGAGAAGCCATATAAATGCATGGAATGCGGAGAAAGCTTCAGTCTGAGTGGCAATCTACGTAGACATCAAAGGAGTCATACAGGGGAGAAGCCATATACATGCATGGAATGTGGCAAATGCTTCAATCAGAGTGGGCATCTTCATACCCATCAAAGGACCCACGCAGGGGAAAAGACATAGAAATGCATAGAATGTGGAGAAAGTTTCAGTCAAAGTAACTTTTCAAAATAACAATTCAAGTCAATATGGAATTTATGTTAAGGGCAATTACAGGGAATAAAAACATTGCTGTGAAGAACATTGCTGTGAAGAAAATGGCAACATATATGAAATGGGTAGAAGAAGGTGATATTGTACAAAGATTTAAAAGGTTGTGTTCGTGTGTACTCATGGATTTTAACAGTTTAGCCAAATCCCCATCACACATCTATGAGAAACAAAAATTAGAGTTTCTCCAGAATGGCAAGCACAGTCTCCACCAAATTTTGATTATACACACAATCAATCATTACCTATCTTTCTACCCATTTATGTTGCAGTAACAGCAATAGGGATTGTGGTGCAGCTGGCTGAGTGTCAGCTGCATTAAGATCACTCTGACCAAAAGGTCATGAGTTCGACGCCAGCCCGGGGTGGAGTGGGTTTCCAACTAATTGTGTGTAGCCTGTTGTCGACCTTTGCAACCCAAAAGACCGTTGCATCTGTCAAGTAGGAAAATAAGGTACCACCTTAAAGTGCGGAGGCTATATTAACTAATTTATGAGGCCAGCAAAGTATTCCAGCAAGGAAACATGCGGGGAATGCGGAAGTGCTTCATCAGCGTCGCAGATGGACGATGAAAGCGACAGTTCCCCTGGCAGCCAGAAAAAGTTAAATAGCCTCTGTGTATGTCTGTATATGTTTGTATGTCAAAATTGGCATTGAATGTTTGCCATATATGTGTACACTGTAATCCGCCCTGAGTCCCCATGCGGGGTGAGGAGAAGGGCGGAATATAAAAGCTGTGAATAATAAATAAATAAATAAATAGCACAGCGAAAGTGACCAATTTGACTTACCTGCAGCCAGCAGGCAAAGCCTAAGGCGTGGGGAATGGACGGAGGAGGGTTGACCTGGATTGCAGTTGGACACTGAGGAGACAGTGATTTCTGCCACTGGTCCCTCTAAGCCAAGCCCTGCCAAAGAAACCATGGAGCTGTGGGGGCAGTTAGGAAAAATATATAATATTAAAATTACAATATAATTTAGAATTACGATATAAATGTTTAAACCTACCTGATTCTTCCTAAAAGCGCTTTTCTGTGAAAGATTTCAATAAGAACAGCCAGTATTGATTTTTCTCTGAAAATGTCAAGGCTTTATTTGATCTGCCACTGTTTACATAGATAAGGTTGGCCGGGCAGAGTAACTCACAAACTTGAGAGATCGATTTATCAATCCAACTTTGTCAACATGACTTAGAACATCTAAGGTCATATAGTCAGAGAGCGGCATCTCCCGACCACTTCATGTAAATAGCAGGCATTTTCTGAAAGCATTATTTCTACTGATTCTTTTCTGATTTTCGTATTAAGAAATAAGTTATAATGAAGTTTTAAAGGCTGAATTGCCGAGGGAGATTGTCATGATGAAATCTTATGCTTTTAAGTTATTATAAGAATATGAGAGCTATAATCCAATTAGAGATTTAAGGATCTAAACTTTAGAATCACCTAATGTTTAAAGTACATGGGGAAAGACATATTATACAATCAGCAGATTCAAGTCTCATGAAGTGTTTGCCTGACCTGATAAGATGTCCTTGTTTAGAGAGCTTTGTATGTGAACACCTGTTTTTCATCTGTTAATGATTATACTGAGTCAACTTCTAAATGTCAGATACTATCTGCGCATGTGCGGGAAGGTTGATTCTGTACTCTATATACTGGAGCAATTGAGACTTGAAGGTGTGACAGCCCTTTGAAAGCTGTTCACCCTATTTTTGCAAAATAGTATGGAAATCGATATGCCGTCTCCATTCCTTTCCTTGTCTGATGCACTTGAATGAATTGGGTAACGTATGCTGCAACAGAACAGGAGCAAAGAGAAGAAGCTGTGCCATTGTTAGACCCTGGGGTCTTTGCACAGCAGAATTGAGGTTACCAGATCACACAGACGCAAATTATAACAAACTGCATTTTCCAGTTTCAGAATAACAAAGTCTTTACTGAGCACATCTCTACACGTCCATTTTCCAAGCAGGCTACATCTTGAAGACAAAACTACAAAGCACAGAGCACACAAACAGTTTCAGTTTCATCTCCTTATCAGTCTTCTAGCTGGTATACTCCCTTTTCTTCCCAGAGCAAAGGAATTCCTGTTACCTCGTTTCAAGGACTCTACTCTCTGGCCTATTCTCTCTCTCTTATAATAACAACCTAATGCACAAATGAACAAAACTGAACATAACTGAATCCGACAAGACAGAGGTCCTCCTGGTCGATCGTAAACCTGACCGGGGTATAGGGTGGCAACCTGTGCTGGACAGGGTTACACTCCCCCTGAAGCCACAGGTCCGCAGTTTGGGAGTCCTCTTGGATTCATTGCTTACGCTTGAGGTTCAGGCGTTGGCGGTGTCCGGGAGGGCTTTCGCACAATTGAGACTCGTGCGCCAACTGCGACCGTACCTCGCGAAGGCTGATCTGGCCGGGGTGGTCCATGCCTTGGTCACCTCCAGATTGGACTACTGCAATGCGCTCTACTTGGGGCTGCCCTTGAAAACGGCTTGGAAGTTCCAACTGGTCCAACGGGCAGCGGCCAGAATGTTAACTGGGGCCCCTTACAGAGAGAGGTCAACCCTCCTGTTCAAGGAGCTCCACTGGCTGCCGTTTATTTTCCGAGCCCAATGTAAGGTGCAGGTGCTTACCTACAAAGCCCTGAACGGTTTGGGACCATCCTACCTGCGTGACCGCATCTCCGTCTACGAACCCACGTGTTCACTTTGGTCATCTGGAGAGGTGCTGCTCGTAATCCCGCCTGCGTCGCAAGCGCACTTGGTGGGGACACGAGACAGGGCCTTTTCTGTGGTGGCCCCCCGACTCTGGAACACCCTCCCCAAAGATCTTAGACAGTCCCCTACACTGGCAGTCTTTAGAAAGAACTTGAAGACCTGGCTGTTCCGATGTGCCTTCCCAGAATAGGAAATCTCCAATACCAAGTCCCATAAGCACTTTACTAGAACTAATGATTGCTGCACACCGCACACTGCACTTGCCCTATAAGCCTTATATTCCACCTGTCACATCAGCACTTTTAATCCTGTACCCTTCACTCTGGCCCGGCCCAGTTTCATTGTGTCTTGGTGTATTGTTTATTGCTTTAATTGTTTTTAATTTGCCTTAGGTGTTGTATTGTTATATTGTGTGCTGAGGCCTTGGCCTTTGTAAGCCGCATCGAGTCCTTCGGGAGATGCTAGCGGGGTACAAATAAAGTTTAATAATAATAATTTTGAAATACACATGAATCCATTATTAACACATTGAAAAACATACATATAATACTTCCAATTACCCTGACAGAGTTTATATGAACAAGACTGTTTCTGACCAAGCGAAAGATCAATCAGTGCAAAATCCACAGACTCCATGGCCAGGATATGTATTTCCTGTGGATAAGAAGAGGCATCTACGTTTTCAGCCCCAATAATTCAGCAGATCCCCCTGGTTGGCCCACTCCTTTCATGTACAAGTAGTGTGTGGTGTTTGCAGGAGAAGTTGAGCGTAAAGGTGTCCATCAGAAGCTTGGTGCATTGCTAAACCATTTGTGTGATAGAAAGACGCAATCCAAG